TTAAGTACGTTTATGGTTTTCGTGTAAGGGATGTTAACTGAAATTTTGATCTCGTTTCCGCAATTGATATATTTAAATACTCATTTCATTTTAATATTTCCGGGGCTGTTGCAATAAATAATAGTGCATGACTATTAGTTTTTATAAGTTATTGTTGGGAAAAACTTGTTACATAAATATGAAATAAATTGTTTTCTTTATAGTAAATGAATTTACAATAAATTAAGAGATCCAATGGTTATTTTTTTAATTTTTACCAATCTTTAGTTTTCAATATCTGTGATTAGTGTGATATTCTTACTGGGTAGTACCTCACCTCTTTATTAACTATTTCAGATCAAGAGAATCAAGATCCAAATCCTAATCAACAAGAGGGTTGCGAATAGTTCATTACTTAGATTCCCTTCAAAAGCTAGTGAAGATCGTCCTAGGATGCTTAGTGATTTACTTTTCATTTATTTCTTTGATTTTTATTTACTCTTTTAGAAGGAACATTCTTGTAGTCCTATTGGGCATTCTAAATTATTATGTAAGGAATGTAAATCCTAACTCTATTATTTCGCTTCCGCATTTAATTTATAACTTTATTTCTATTTAAGTTCCGAGCTTTTACAATTTATCTCTCGAGAGATGTGAATTTTTGTTTTTTGTTTTATGAATACGTTCCTTATCTAGCACATAAACTTATTATAATCACCATATCTATTATTTTTTTCTCATACAAATAACATCAATCAATGATGTCAAATTTAAATTACAAGTTAAGAAGCACCATGTAATATCTACCAACAAGAGATGGTGTGCACAAGTGATAGTTAGAATTGCTAATAACTTTGAATGGTGCTTTCAAGAAAGAAAACATAGTAAGACGAACATATAGGTGTCCCTAAGGTCTTACTAGCATGATAAGGATGTAAGAAAGACATTAGAGAACAATAGTTATTAGGAAAATGATGAGAGTTTGAGAAAAATTACAAAAGCACCAAAAGTTTACTGTATACAAGCTTCACCAGTTTTTAAACAAAAAAAAAAATATTCTTTACAAATTATATTATATAATTTTTTATTATTGGCCAAGCCACTAGTTAAACTAGGGATTGAAACCCCAACTAGCCTCTCACTTAAACTAGTTGAGATGAGGTAACCGCTAAACCACAATGGAGTAGTTAGATAGTTATAAATATACATTCTAATTGTTAACTGAGTAGTAAATTTAATTAAAATATTTAAAAAAAAAGTTATTATACCTCTCTACTCTATAGTAATTTTTTAAAACTATAAAATGTCAATATTAGTATATAAAATAAAAAGGATTAAATTAATTAATAACTAAATATTTAGCTAAACTATATTTTTTGGTAAAAAAATATTACAAAAAAAACCCAGCTGCCAAACATCCCCTTCAACGAATTGAAGCGGTCTTCTCACTTTTGGACCTCACGTTCTTTTTATTCGCCGTACAGTTTTGTTTTCCTTTAATCTAATTTTCTTACATTATATAAAAACCACAATTTTTTTTAACATTAAATAAAAATTAAATCATATATAGTCCATTGTATAAAAATTACATCATATACTACTTATTATATAAATTTCATAGTTTCAGATGAATTTTTTTATCAACATTTCTTTATATAATAAATTATACAAGATAAAGTGTATAATTTGCAAAATTAAAAATTTATACAAGTAATTTGACTTTGTTACTTTGAATTTCATTCTTCAATTTTGTGGTTACGAATTAAAAAAAAATTGAGGTTCTTGCATGGTATTAAAGAGAAATTTTGTAGTTTGATTTTTCCATATATTTTTCAAAAATTGATAGAACATAATTTTTATTTTTATATGCATCTTATAAATTATTCAAAATAAACTAATGTTGTATATAAAAATTTCTATAATATTATTAAACTAATATTATTCAAGTAGTTAAATATCTTTATTTTGAAAGGTACTTTAAAATAAATTTATAAAATTCATGCACTAATAAAAATTTATAAATTCTGTTACATTGAAATTTCATATTCAGAAAGGATCAAATTTATTATTAATTCAATAAAAATGAAAAAAATTAAACATTTCATAGTGGAAAAGAGTCTTTATCAAATTATATTTTAGAAATTTTCAAGAAAAGAAAAAAAAAATCATATTTAGAAAAAAAATCTAATTTTATTTTATTGGGCCACCTTGGGCCTACTTTGGGCTTTTAACCTATTAGGTTTTTCTTTGGGCCACCAAAATTCTAAGCCCAAATAAGTAATTCCTGAAATATTCTACGAAACCTAAGGGTGGTTTCGTCTTTTTATCCCCCTCTGTAAAACCCTAGTTTTATGTCCCCCTCCCTCTCCCGCATCTATTTCGCTGCGCCTCCTTTAAACACCCGAGTCCTCTCTCACAAGCACGCTCTCTCAAACCCTAGAACTCGAAACCCTATTCAACCATGCCGCCAAAGTTCGACCCAACCCAAGTGGTGGACGTGTTCGTCCGGGTGACCGGAGGAGAAGTTGGTGCGGCCAGTTCTCTCGCGCCAAAGATCGGTCCTCTTGGTCTCTCGCCCAAGAAGGTAGGAGAAGACATTGCTAAGGAGACTGCCAAGGAATGGAAAGGGCTCCGGGTAACAGTCAAGCTCACGGTTCAGAATCGTCAGGCTAAGGTTTCGGTTGTCCCATCGGCGGCTGCCTTGGTCATCAAAGCTCTCAAGGAGCCGGAGAGAGACCGGAAGAAGACGAAGAATATCAAACATAATGGAAACATATCGCTCGATGATGTCATCGAGATTGCCAGGATTATGCGTGGTAGATCCATGGCCAAGGACCTCAGCGGCACAGTCAAGGAGATTCTGGGTACCTGCGTCTCCGTTGGGTGTACGGTCGATGGGAAGGACCCCAAGGATCTGCAGCAGGAGATTACTGATGGTGAGATCGAGATACCTGATAATTGAGAGTTGGAAAGTGGAAAAAAAGTGAAAAAAGGGCTTTGTTTTTTGTTTTTGATATTATTAGTATTTCTGTTCTTTTAATTATGAAGCAGTTTTGGATTTATATAAGGATTATTGCTTTCGGGCTTTTTTGAATTTAATCGTTAATCTCTAATTTGTTCATTTGAATGTGAGCTTCCATGAGAGGTTTCAATTGAATGAGGAGATTAAGGTTTTATGTTAGTGTTTGGTACATGAGTTTTATAATGCACTATCAGTTGATGGAACTCTGGCTTCATTTTGACTTATATAGGATACTGTTCTTTATTACTGTATGTGATTCTTAAAATCTTAGAATAAATAGAGAAGCTAGTTCTTTTTTCTGTTGGTTTTTTAGACTGTTGTTGACGATGAAGCTCCATTTCTTAGGCAATCTGATACTTTCCTTAGTCTTATGAAAGGGTGATTAGTCTCTGGTGTTGGTATGTTGACTTCCTACCGATTAAAGTTGTCATGGCAATTTTGAATTTCAATAGAATTTGTTTGTTGTTTTTATCTCAATTGCTCAATGGTACTTGTTTTCTGGATGGTTTTACTTAACATGAGATTGATGGGCTGACCTCAGTATTAATGTTTGATGTGCTGACCTCAGTATCACAACGTGAGATTGAAAATGCATATATATGCACATTGCAGTCATGCTTTTATGCATTGAATGAATTGAAATTTACATTTGTTGACGTACTTACAAGATAGTTTTATTGGACAAAGGAAAATATGTTAGTTTTGAATGACGGATGATTCTCTGGGCTTTACGATTTCATCTGAGTTTCAGTGTTGTGTTTGTTTACCTAAAGATGGCCGTATTATATCTCCTATAGCCATTAATACTCGATCAATTAGTTGTTAGTGGGTAGGCATAGTGTGGAAAGTAGCATGTTTCTTGTGTTTGGCTTGATGCTCGATTATCTGTATTTCATACTTCCCATGTTTGTAATTGAAGTTTTATGTACTTGTACTGTTAATACTCAATCTGTTGGTCTTATGTTGGGTATTCGTAGTGTGGAAAGTAGCTTCTGCTTGGTGTTCAATTTTATTTTATGCTTTCCTGTTTGCCGAAGTTGGTAATACAAGATTTATATATTTGCATGTTGTTTCTTTATGCAGTGTTTATGTGATATTCCTCTCTTATGAAATCCTTGATAATGAACAGCTCTTTATGAGGTGAAAACCGAATTATTTTACTTTGTGGGATTAAAAACCTATTGGAGGGTACTTGGAAATTCAAATTTTGTTTTCTCCTCTGGTATTTGGGTTTTAGCCCAATCGAAGTTTTTCCCCCTTTATACTGGTAATTCTTGATTGTGTCCAGTTCTGAATTGTCTCCTTGGTTTTGCAGTTTATTTTGCTGATCATGTCATCTGATACTTGTTCCGAAAACCTACTGAATTTTGTCAGCAAATATGTTGGTTTTTCTATGACTTTTGGAATGTTTTCTACTTTATATTTTTTGATACTTAAATTGATTAGATGGATTTTGATATGAATGTGTTTCAAATGATAATCTTTTCTGGGTTACAACTTGTAAGACTGCTACCACTCACATGTCTTCTTTCTGTCAATTAGGTCTGGATTTAGTTCAGGTTTACCCCAACCAAGATTTTATTTCATCATTTCAATATTTATTATTAGTTTTATAATATATAATTAAGTAGATATAACAATAGAATTTATATTAATAATATATTCTAAAATTATAATAACCAAAGCTATATTGTTTTAATTTAAGATTATTTCACTAGATTTGCAGTATTTTTAATTACTTGCAAACTAGCCGGTTGAAGGTATCTTTTTGTGTGATCATCTAATCTCAAATGCTCAAATAAAATCTACATGCTACTGATAAACAATGGTAAAAAATTACTAGTTGATTGATTTGTGGGTCAGGGACATTGAATTGTGTTATTCCCTGTTTGGCAGGACATCAAAACAAATAGAAAGCATCCACCTGTTACAACTATATTATATATTTATTGTTTTTTGGTCTTAAGGAATTGTATGATTGTTTCTCATTTCTGTGGTTTATAAATCAACACATTTTCTTTTGTCTTTTTTCATGGTCTTTTCTCTGTTATTTACACATGGCTATTCTCTTCACCGTCAAATCAATGTTATTTCTTAATTAACTTGATATTTTTAGTCTTAATATCTTCTCTATATAAACTCTCTCTCTTCTCTCTTCTCTCTTCTCCCTTCCCATTCATTCATTAGTTTTTCTCTACAATAAACACACCAAAACAAACCCACATTGCAAAATACTCAGACTCACTCTTATCTCTCTTCTTCTTTGAGATCGAAGGAAGAGAGACACTCTGCGTTAGATCTTCTTCATCTTCCATATATTTCTAACTCTATTTTTATCATTTATAAGTTCAAAATGGTGAAAAGTGATACAAGTTATTGGATTGAGGTGGCACCACCTCCGATCATCTTTCCTAAAAAACCTTCTAATACTCCTGAGCTAGAGACAATTATTGAAGAAGAAACGGACTGGCATGATGACTCATAAGTCGAGATTCATGGAAGTTTGATTGTGATGTTTTTATTCAATTGGCTTCCATGAGATAAGTTTTAAGAATAGTTTTGTGTAATATATCATTTATGTATGATATATAATCGAAGACCTATATATAAAGCATAATTTGGTTTGCTTCTATTTGAATTTAGCAAACCAACTAGCATCTGAAATAATGTTAGTATCTTGTATGTTTATTTGTAAAAATTGTGACTTCTTTTAATAGAGTTAGTAAAAATTTGTTAATTAAATTAACATAATAATGCAAATGAACATATTTCATGAGTTAAATTTATCCAATGATAATACTCACTGTATTAATCAATATGTATCAAACATAAATTTGATACAAAGTAAAAGTAAACATTTAGCATCATAATAGGTGAGGCTATACCATTCCTCTCCCATGATCATTCCCGTAAAATTAACCAAATTCCAAAACATATTCATGACTTATTACAATAATTATTTTAAATAGACATTATGTTGCATAATGTCAAAAGAAATTATTTAGTTAGTTGGATAAGAACTCCAAACATTACGATGATGCGATAGCAGAAATAGTCAACTTATTGTCCAAATAGCTAGTCTTCATAATATATCTCATGTTTAAATTTTTATTTAGTGTTATACCAAAAGAATATGGTAAAGAATTTTGATAGTTATGAATTTGGGGCTGAGGAAAGACACCTATAGATTGCATCACTTGCTTCAACTTGATGCCAATTATCAATTAAGAAGAAGAAAGGTGCAAGCATAATAATACTATAACTTGGTATCCAATGAATTCCCTTGTCAATGATTTTATCCTTAACTATTTGAGGTTCGAGAATCACAAACATACCTACACTGTGGATTTAGATAAGTTTCCTTTGCATGGATACGACGCACGTTCGCGATTCCATGAAATTATTTTTAATGTCGGTCTTAATAGTGATGTGAATAAATATTAAATAATGGATAAAAATGTTCCTGCAACTCATGTAAATAATTAACTCTAATTTTAAGCTAAAATCGATTGTAAACAAAAGATTAAAAACTTAAATCAGAAAAACCAAACCTGGGCCCAATTTCGTTTTCGGGTTGATAGGCTAACAGGTGGCAACTGCAGCAGAGTTGGAATTAATCTCTTTAATTAGATATTAATAGAATGTGAAAATAATATTGAAATTTAAGATAATCAAAAACTGTGTTTAATACTAATTGATAATGAATGGTAGAAAATTTAGATTTGATAGTACAATGTTAAAGAATGTAATAACAAAGAAAATTTAATTTAGTTACATGTTCATTAAAAAGATTATACTAGTTTAATTTTAGGTGTATGTATACATATTGGTTTAATTTCAATCCAATTATACTATATGTAAATACAGTTTTTGTTTGTATTTTAATTGAGTCTCCATAAATCATCAAAGCATGACTAAAATATGATTTACTCACCCGATGAATTTGGTATTGAGATTCATTAATGGATCCCACGTGTTCTCGTCTTCAACCTCGGTTCATTATTCGCACCAACTTTTTCTTTCTTAATTAAGTAAATATTTTTTTCTCACGTGTTACATATGACTTTTACCTTCAAGTTGCAGCAACATTTTTTCTCTCCACCGCTTTCGTTATAAATTTTCCCACTTCCCAAACAGCATTCCCAAGAAAGAAAATTAAGAAATACTCTTCCATTGTATTCGAGTTCTTATGTTTCTAGGTGAGAGTAACAGTCTGCAATGGCGAGTGATAATGGAAGTTTGAATTCATGGAATGAGATTGCTCCAGCACTTCTGTTCATCAGCCGCCTTCTTTTTTTTTTTTTTTTTGCCTAATTTGGTAAGAGGTAATAATTAACACATTATTATTATCAAACAAAATGTATAAAAAGAAAATAAATTTGTTTGAAGAAATGGTTGGTCACTACTACTACTTCTATGTGAAGGGTTTTGAGATGCTGTTGTAAATTAATTTATTGACATTTTCATTGAACTATATAATTTATAACCCTTTTCAACCAACCCATAATAAAATAATTAATTATATATATATATTTATAAGAGGTTGTGAATTTTTGAATAAAACTATACTCTTGTGTGTCATTTTTTTATTTAAAAAATTTATCTTTATTGTATTACAATTGACCATTTTAATTTATTTAACCTCATTCATTGAAATTGAAAATCCATCTACACACAACACTCCAATAACTTAAAAAGTATAAAGAAAAATGTGTGACTTATTAGATTTCAGCACTAAACTAGTTGTTGATTAAATTGATTAATCATATAGTAGAACAATTTTATTTATTAATTATATTAAATTTCATGACACTTATAAGACACCACAAATATTTCTCAAGGAAAATGAACATTTTTAATTTTTAATTTTTTTTTTTTAAAAAAAAAAATGCATTCTCTTATCGTATTTATTATCACTTGGTAATTGAACCAAATTAAATCAATATCAAATTGTGTAAAAAAAAAAAAAACTCTTATACTACGGACCAAAGACAATACCAAATTGGAGTATTCTTATTTCTATTTAATAAATGTTAAATATTAATTTGTTATGAAATACAAATATTAAATTATTTAGGATTTTTTATTTTGTAAAATGTTAATTGTTAACTTAATATTAAAAACTAAATGTTAACCGAACTCTAAAAAATAATTGTTAGCAAGTTAACGAAAATTATATGTTTGTCCCACCAAGTCTAGATTA